CAGTGCAGCTTATAGGGGGGAAGTTTCCAAACCTGAACAAATAACTCTGGCAGCCACACAAACCCGTGGAGCAGGGCTCCAGGTTAGGTGATCCAGGGATCTGCAGGAAAGGCTGTCCAAGGGTGCAAACACAGATGAGTCTCCCCACCTGCCACCCTGAAGTCCTGCTGTTGAGACTGTTGCTAACAGACCACACACATGGCAGATTCACTGTGGTCATCTGCCTGCTGGCAATGAGTTTGAGAAAAAACAGCTTCATTGACCACAGGCCACTGTTCACACATCAGATGGTAACTTTGCTGAGTACCATAATAAATGAATGCAGTTGGAAAATGAGAGGTGACATTTGGACATGCAGTGCTTTTGAAATCCCTAAATTTACATCCAGTTTTGTGATGTAGGACAGATTTGGTCAGAGTGGAACCACACTGTCCCCACCATCTAACACCCTAAGGGGTACAGATGTTCCAGGTCACTAGCAAGGAATAAAGCTTCCACAAGAAGCAGCTCTGCTTCCCCCATCTAGTCCTAATAAAGATCTTTCTATGACAGGGTATGATTTCATTCTAGAAACCAGAAAGTAACAGCTTGTTTATTAATCTTCTGAGCTGTGCAGCCCCACCAAAATCTAGCTTTTTATTGGGCCTTTAAAGAGCACAATACAAATATTCAGCCCTGTACCATTATATCTCCAGGCAAATGTGGCAAGAAACCAGACAAAACCACAGGAGAGTAACTTAGCACTGCCTGCAAGCCAAGAAAGATCCAAAGCTCTCCATCAGGATATCTGGATGGCTTTCAGAACAAGTGAACAAGTTGCAGTAGATGAGCTTTGATTTTTGCAGATCTCGCACTCTGTTTTTCAGGCATCTTTGCTATTTTTTAATAGCTCTTTTTATACACTAGCTGAAGTGCCCTGAGAAAGTTGCCAGGTTTATGCATACTCCCTGGGGAATGATGCTGTGCTTCAGACTGCAGGCACACAGCTGACAAGAGTCAAGACACTGCTGAAAAATGTGTGGCAGAGCAGGAATGGTTATTCACCCACTCCAGGGCTGGACCTCAGGAGGTACTTGGCTATGTTAATGCCTTGGAAGAAAAGAACAAAAACTTCTGAAGCTTCATCCTGAAAACAGTATAAAGAGCACTGTTTTTAAATTAGAAGAGCAAACAATTCTACTTCTCTTCTTTCCTGTCATTGATTGGAGTGCAGTGAGTAAGAGAGACCAAGGTTAAGGTTTCTGAGACTCCTCCATGCCCTCCTTTGATCTAATTCTGTGAAAGTGCTAAGCAATAGAATCACAGGTAAAATACAGGTTTTTTTCTGAATGCCTTCCAGTGAACAAGGCAGAGCACTAAAGCTCCACTCCTGTGATGTTTCACTTTGTTTTGGAGATGGGAATGACCTGTGATGGGAAGCAGGAAAGCAGCAATAGGCTGGATATACACTGCTGGTCTCCTGGCTTAGCAGGATGTTATATTCAAGAAGAAATCTCCCCTTTTAGACTTGATTCACTGCTATGCTGTGGTCAGTTTACATTATTTAGGCAATCTGTAAAACCTTTAAAGGACATAAAAATTCTATGTGCATTCTGCCTGTGCTCTGACTCTCTACTACAGCCATGGTGTGCTGTACATGCAACTGTGCTTTACGTGGCTGGCAAGATCCTAAGTGATGACTTTTCCCCATCTTTTCTTAGAAATACAAACAAATTAACAAATACAGAGCTAATTTGTTGCCAGAACAGCACAGTGAAGACTGATTCTCAACAGCTGAGCTGCTCCTTTTCATATTAAGCAGCTCGTTTCAGTTTTTCAGTTTTTCATATTTCAGTTTTTCAGTTTTTCATATTAAGCAGTTCCTTTCTTCAGCGAAGACTGATTCTCAACAGCTGAGCTGTTCCTTTTCATATTAAGTCTTCAGCACCTTTCTCCTTCCAAAATTAGTCATGAATAAAAGAATTTGGAAAGTAATAATATGAAGACAAAAGCCATACACTACAGAGCACTTACAAAAAGCCTTCGTGTTTCAGACCATGAATTAACATGATCCTACAAAGATAATTTCTTTCAAAAGTGGACCTGGAGAAAGCAGTTGGTTCCATGCAGGATCTACCTTGTCACATTTTGTAGTCTACTAGAGCTGTCCTCATTTTCTTCTATTGTTTTGTGACTGCCATGCAAACAGCCATTGCAGCTCTTGGTCCCTTCTACCTCTAAGGAAATTATCAGGGGCCTTTTGTGATTTGAAACTGAGGACAGAACCATTCTACACTTAAGGTGACATGGAGAGGCAGCTTGTAAACATTGCACAGCATGGTTTTACCATTTACTAGCATAAAATATACTACAAAGCTACCTTAGGGCACATTTTAATCTTTCCTGTATAATTGAAATTTTTCCTTCTGTGTAAACAGTAATTTACCTTCTAGGATATAGGAGCTTATTAAAAACAAACACAAAAAGCAAGAAATTTCTTCTCTATTCTTTTGGCCCTCCTCCAAAGGTCTTCTTCCTCAGGAGTGACACATTTGGCAGTTTATAAAATACTTAACACATGTAATGCTTGGGAGTAATCAAAACCTGTACCTCCCAGGCTTTTTTGATGGGAAAAAAACAAAATAGGGAGATTTTTCTACCCTTGTAAAGATGCAACTTGTATCTGTCCCGAGGCAGAAACACACTGGCAGTGGATTTACCTGGGGATGCAGGCTGAGGTGGGGCCCTTGTGCTGAGGCCAGCAGTCTGGAGACAGCTGAAGTGAAGTGGTTCCCCTTGCTCTGCCAGCCCTTGTCCAGGCTGCTCACTCTGAAGATTGAGGCACTCAGGCCTCAAGAGAAGAGGAAGGTGTGGACACCACGAGTACAATTACTGGATTCAGGGCAGAGAACAGGGATTTGTGTCCGTGGCACGGCTGATTGCTAATTGTTTGCTAAAACTTAACCTACAAAATCAGATTTTTCTCCAGTAGTTGGGTGCCAAAAGATGCAGCTAATTCAGCAGTGGAATTTCAAATTGCCTCAACAAGATAAATCCAACAGGACTAATCTAATCTCCAGCAGGATTTAGCCACTTAACCAGATTATGCTTTGTTTAAAAACTTATTGCCTATGTACCTGCAGATTTAGCAGCCTGACTAGCTTGGAAAACTTTCCTCCAAGCCCAGTTTGGAGCAAGAACTACCCACAGATGTCTAGCTTTTCTCATCAGGACTTTTTTCAGTCCTGTATGTTCAGTGCTGCAGATCATCAACCTGCACTAGAAATCTGAAGGCTGTTACTTTCCTGTACCTGGCACAAAGCAGCACCTACTCCTCAGCTTGGCAGTGCAATGTGGGGGAAAAAAGACATGGTGGGTACATCTGAAATGCCTTGGAGAGAAGAACACTGAACAGCATGCCTGGTGAAGAGTGCTCCTGAATTCCCAGATCACTTACACTGCTACAAAGAAAAAGTAACTTTAAGACCTACTCCCTACCCAAAACACACTGTGCTGCCCCTCCACCCAAAGGCAACAATCTCTTTACCAATTCCCTCTTAACAACGCCCCTCGAAAGAATCTTGAAGTTGAACCTACCTGCCTGAATCATTTCATATTAGAGAAGAAATGCTGAGGTTTATTTCACTCAAAAACATAAAAGCTGCAGAAATTTGTCTGGCAATTAGTTTAAAATCAGTGTGAGATTACACATTCTTTACGCTGAGTATAAAGAACTAACAACTTTGGTAACAATTTACAGGCCCAGAAAATAACTCAGGTCTACTTTGGATTTTTGTCTTAGGCTACTGACAAGATTTGACTTGTAACTTTGTCAACGTTAAGATATATAAAATCTTCTCCATCCAATCCATCTCTTTTAACATTAAGACATAAAAAAGCTTCAGTAGAACAAGATCATCTTTTTTTAAGTCTACTGTTTCCCTCTGCAGAAATGTCTTTCAAAAAACCAAACTCATTCCTATTTTCCTTCCTGTCCCCACAAAAATTCTGTCAGTCTGATACTCTTCAATCAAGACCAAAAGTCATTTCTCAGCATCTCTCTGTTCCTACTTCTTTCTTTCAGAAGCTGGCAATGACATTTTTATCTCCCTTGGTGTTTTGTACTGGAGCAATTATCATGATAAGAACACAACTGCAGTATTTTGTTGCATACAAACACCACCCTGCAGGATTCAGCAGGTATTTGTGAATAACCAGGTAGGATGAGGGGCCTTGGCAGTGGCTGGTTTCCCAAATTCATTCATTCTGTCCCTGCCCACCAGTATTCTACCTGGAAACTGCACTGACTTGAGCTGGCAACACAGAGCATATTTACTATCATTCATATGCTGGAACTGTCATGAATATGTCACAAAATATGGAATTTGTCCATATGCCTGAAATTCAGTCAAACCAGCCTAAAAAAAGAGATAAAAGCTGTAAAGCAAGCAAGCAAAGATTAAAAATTTGTTATTTTAAAAGAGCTTCAGGACCATTTGGCACATTTCAAACACAGAGAACTTCTTCAGACCTGCAGTTTCCTAATGTGAACACAAGGTAAGGATAGCCTCAGATTTATGCTTGGATGTCAACAGTGAGCCAAAACGGCGACAAGGCATCAAAATCAGCCCTGATCTGCACACAGCAGTGCTGGTGGTATGCTGCCTGCTGAAGGGTGTCTGTGGCTGCAGTGTCTGTGGCTATCAGGCCAGTAAATAAAACAGAGAAGTAGAGTTTCTGGTCCTTCCTAGATTCAAGGAAGATCTGACCTGAAATGCTGCTTTACCCTTTTCCAGACTAATTCTTCACTACTTGTTTGTGGTGTTCCCTAGCCCTGTTAGCTGGAGGAAAGAGCAGAACCCAACACAAAGCCTTGGGTGAACCTTGCTCCACTCAATCCAAACTCAACCCTGCTGACTCTCAGCTGTCAACCCTGAGCAAACCCCTGGAGGCTGGAGAAATGAACCAGTTTCCCCAAGACATGAAGCCTCCACACACCTTTGCATTGAGATGACTCTTACCTCTTTCTGGTGATACTTTATTGCTACCTTTAGCTTTGCCAAGTCATGACATTTTTGGGGATCCAGCTCTTCGCTTTGATCATCTCTGTGGTTGAGAATGATCTCCAGTTCTCGGGAGCTCCGTGCTTGATCCAAAAGGTCCTTAGCAAAACGCTTGCACTGCTGTGAAAGCTCTTCATACTCAGCTTTGAACTCGTTCTCCACTTTGCTGAGCTCCTTCAGCTCCCAGCCCAGTCGGAAGGCCGTCAAGATGGGGTCCTCGCTTGATAAGGCAATTAACGAAGGGCTGGCTAAGGCTTTGTAGATGTTCAGCCTTGACCTGGAATGCCTCAGGCTGTCCACCTCCGAGCTGGAGACACATTCCACACAGTTGCACCTGATCTGGTGTGGGCGTGGAATCGTCACCCGTCTTTGGACCAGCAGTTTGATGATTTCGTAGTTGTTGGTGTGAGCCGCCAGCATGATTGGGGTGATATCTGGAGTGAATTCTGAAAACTGGGTGTCCATCATCAAGGTTGGAACCTACATAAAGGGATAAAGCATAGTTATACTTCATGTGGAACAGCAGAAATCAGATGTCCTTGCTTCGTACTTTTGAAGTGATGTCATAACAAACCCCCTCTGTTTAAATCCTGTTGTAGCCATGCACACACACTGCTTTTCTGGCAAACCCATATTCCCCCAAAATCATTCCTGTCTGCCTCTCAAGCAGGAACCTGTCACCATTCCATTCTCAGCCTGGTGCAGAAGCCAGTCACATCCTCATCTGAATGCTTTGTGTGTGAACCTGTTCTGAAATGGGTATTGGTTCATGTACCAGGTGGACTTTTGTAGGAAAACAGAAAGACAAAAGGCTCAGGTAATTAGACAAAAAGAAAGGAAAGTCTGGAAAATGATGAATACTGAATAGATTTCCATAACTATCATTATTTGCATTATATGTCTGCATTAGCAGGCCAAGAACCTGCTTGTAGGTGGCCCTACTCAAACCAAACCAAAGCAAACCCAACCCTGGTCTGCAGTTGAGCAAAGCACTTCCTCACCTTTTCCCTACTGTTTTTATTTGAAAATACTTTTCAGTGGAAGGATACATTACATAACTGCCCTCAGAATAGATTCAGGGTTTTTTTTTATAAATGGCTTTGAAAAAATTTAAATGTAAAATTAATGAGCCATAGTCCACTACAAATAAGACACTCCAGGGTGTGCATTATTCAGCTACTGTTGCACTTCTTAAAAGATGAGCTTAATGCACACCCTGTTGTGTCTTATTACTGTATGCAGAGTGCAAAATTAGAGCCCAACGTCCTCCGTCGGCAGCACGCCGCGGGTCTCCGTGTGCTGTGCAGGCAGCTCTCTGGAGTGTGTTAATCATTACTCAACCATACTGTACTTGGCGTGCCCACTGCTCCTGCCCTGGCAGTTGGCATCCTGCTGCTCACGGGCTGATTGCTGGCTTTGGGGAACAGGAGGCTTGTTTCCCCTTGCAAATGTCAAAGGCGTTTCAGAGGAACTCTTGCCAAAGGCTGGTAATGACAGGAAACGTCACCCGGGCTGTAAAAGTCCCAAAGTAAAGCAGCCAGAAAGTGGCACGAGGTACCTGGGTAGAAATCCTTCTGCAGAATGTACCTGGTTACGAGTTGGTGAACCTCCAACCACTGAATCTGAGCTTCCTGGGAGTTAAGAACCTCCGTAACCCTAAGGAGCTGAAGGCTGTTGGGCTGTGTTCGACTGACAAATCTCTACGTCTCTACGTCAGCCTGTTCACAGCACCCAACACCCTCCCAAAGGCCAGCACCACGCTGAGGTGCACAGCTGGAGCACAGCTCCCTGCCTGGGTGGCTAGAGGTGTCTGGGGAATAGGGCCAGCCTGCTGCCCTGGATGTGGCACAGGAGTTAAATCACCAGCAGTCCACAGACACCCAGGTGTAAAGAGGCTCTGGTAACCCTGGTCCCTACAGGTGCAGCCAGGAGGGAGCTCATAAATGCAGCTGCTTGGGAAGAAAGGATGGTAGGATGGTAGTGAGGATTTGCTGTGGCTCAGGAGGACTCTGTGTCTCTCAGCAAGGTTGGCTAAGTGTATTTTAAGGTATCTGGTAACAGCTGAAAGCAGCTCTCCTTGTAAGGTCTTTTATTTCCTTTCTCTTCCTTTGCTTAGCACGTTTAGGTAATTTGTTAAATGTCAAGAGAAAGGTGTGGGGCTTTCTTCTTTCCTCACAGCAGCATAGTTTTTTAAGCCCTGATGCTTGAATAATTTAATTTATCTTTTTTCCCCTCCTTTTTCAGTCAGTCACTGGCTGCTGTACTCAGAGCCTCTGCCTCAAAGGAAGAATGTGTTCCCCCTCTATCACTCCTATTACTGTCAAGTTTAATCTTGTTTTCCTATATGGAAGTTATTGTACCCTGGGCTGTGAAAAGGCTTTTCAGTTTTACACAGATGAGGTGCTCGTGTCGCTCAGAATATGAAATGGGCAGCACTTGCAGAGGTAGTAATGTTACAGGGCTAACCTGGTCTGCTTCTGTCTGCTCCTGAGGCTTTCTAAATCTGGATCTAGGGCTCTTGAGATGGTTGCCCCAAGGTCTGGGATCAAACTGGGGCAAGCCCTCACCCCCAAAACGGAGCAGTACTTTGGTCTCAGGCAGCCCCTCTGTTGAAGGCATGTTTGCCTGGGCAGCGTGCAGCCCTTTTAATTAAGGGCTAAGGCACAAAATGGTGCTGCAGAGACATAGAGGCTCCCTGGGGGCTGGGAGCAGATCAGTGTGAGGCCTTAAATCACAGGAGCTGAAGCTTGTTTCTGATGATAGCTGAGCAGCAAAACAAGCCACCAAAACACAGAACAGGAATAGTGTGACTGATGGCTGCTGTGGCTTCTCTTTTGTGTGCCTGGCTCATCCAGAGACCAGACACTGGCTAAAAATTGTCTGTCTTGTGGTATTTTTGTGGTCTTCCTGCACAGGGGGCTCTGATAATCCACACCTTACCCAACTGTCTTGTTTGAAAGGTGGGGCTATGCAAAGCAAGTGTTCTGTGTCTGGTCACTGGAGGGCCAGCAGAGATTACAACACTGCATTGTGGTTGCTGGTGTTCCTCCTCTGATGGGTTGTGTTCATGTTTAGATCCACTTCTTCTACGTCTTGGGTTAATTTACAGTGATGGAAGCAGAAAAGGAATAAATTATTCTACCCCAAGGGCTCTGCTAAGCTCTTCCAAGGTTATTTTCATTAAGTGACCTGAATAACAAATTCTTCTCCATTAACCTCACCACCTGACACAAGCTGTTAAGCTGAGTCCTTCAGAACCTTACTGTCACTACTTGCAGAGGAGTGTGTGCCTTCTCTGTATTTCATCTGGGGAGTGTTCATTTAAGAAATTAACACTACCATTAATAATGAGTGGCTGAATGCTTGTTACCAGCTTTCTAGACTTAATCCTCATAAAGGTAGGCTGCTTACCTCTGCTTCTCTGATACTGCAGGGAGTGAAAAATCTGCTAAATTTAAAAAAGAGGGGTGGGGAAATGAGTTTAATTCATTAAAAAAGAAGAAAATGGAGGATTAGCTCCCATAAAAGCACTGTTCAGTATAGCTGAGCTCTCCTGAACACAAAAAGTAGTTTTCCAGTAAATACCTCACTGCTGGAAAGAAGCTCTGGATGGGAAGAGCAGGAATCTCTGCTTAGGTTAGTAACTAGCACAGAGTTAAGAACAGAACTATAGAGACAAAAAGAACCCAAACAACCTAGCACTGAAGAGCTGATGGCCTATAGCTTTGGGCTTAATCTAGTCTGGAATCTGAGTGCCCCTGCCCCAAGACTACTCAGCAATGTGAACCAAAGTGCAGTGAATGGGGAGGTTAAGGAGGTACAGCCCAAAAGTGTGCTCCTCAGACAAGCTTCAAAGCCTGATATGAATGCATCTTTGGCCTTTCTGTGGACCACAGAAGCTAATATCCACTTTGAATGCTGGAAGATTTCAAAGCAAGCTATAGTGTTCCTACAGCATCTGTCATCTGCTGGCCACCCCCTTCTTGGGTGCATTAAGAGTGTGGCTAGCAGGTTAAGGGAGGTTCTACCACTCTGCTGTGACCTAGTGAGGCCACATCTGGAGTATGGGGTCCAGTTCTAGGCTCCCTAGCTCAAGAGATGAGGAGGATCAAGACTGGAGAGGCTCCAGCCCTGGTAGGCAGCAGTAGTTCTGTCCCATGAAAGGCTGCACAAGATGTGATGATAAAACAGATTGTCATCTATCTTTGCATATAAAAAAGGACAACTAGGTAGGAAAAAAGCTGTTCTGCAGCAAAGGAACTTGCAAGTCAAGTGCCAAATCTTGAACTCTGAGGAAAGAGTTTGGCTCTCTAGTGCCTATTTGGGGATGGTTTTCTGTTTCTATTTCTACATCTCATGCTCTTCTGCCCTGCTATATTGGCAGTCCTCCTGATTATGGTCTGGTAACCCTACCAGACACTAGTGTCCCTTCATGTCCAGGTCACTCCTCAGTGTTCACATCTGCAGTCTCCCCAGGCAACCCTTCAGTGCTTCAGACCTGAACTGGAAAGAGAATATCTAGAAAGTAAAGCAAAGCCAAACCTAAAAAGTCCTTCACCTCCTTAGTTTTGTTATCTAGTCATAAGCTTCTTGTGTCAAAAGCAGTTTAAATATGCACCCTGTCTAGTACTGAGAATGCTGCTGCTACTGCTTGAAAATAACTAATAGCACTTTTACCTTTTACAGGTGGAATTGTCCCATTTTCAAGCCATCCCCACTGCACAAACTAGCACCTGACCTGGACCAGTGCAATAAATTGTAAGTATAACCATGATAAACTGTGAATATATTCATCTGTGTTATTTTCAGCTTGCACAACTTTTATAGCTTATAGCTGTATCAAAAAGTTTTTCTAATGGCCAAAACAATGTTTTCCTAAGAACAAACTCGTGCAACATCACTGGAAAACTTCAAACACTTCTGGAAATGGCTGGGTAACTTTACTGAGCAAGGATTTCCTATTTCTGGATGGTTTTATCTGTGTGTAGCCCTGGGGGGGAAATGCATGTGCCATCCACAAGCGTGGTAATGGGCAGAGCCAATTTCTGTTGTTCTAAAAAGATTTTGTGCTACATCAATTTCAGGCAAGGCTCAGTGGTCAGAAGGAGCCTTAGCAGTGAGTGTGATTGTGTTCAGAATTGTAGTCCTGTGGTACTTTTGGCTGCAGCTCTATGAATAGGGTATGAGAGACAGCCAGTGTTGCTAGACTGCAGATCAGCCACGTTACCACCAAAAGGGTCTTGAAAAAAACACAGATTGGGACTGCCATGGCCAACTGAATCCTGCTCTTTGCCTAAATCCATAAATTCTTTCATGGACACAGGCTTCTTGGTGTTTGTTTCCTTATGTGGGACTCAGGAAAAATGCTACCTGCTTCTCTAAGTGCAAGCATTCATTTTTAGGTGATGCAGTGGTGTGGGTTTCAATAACTGTGTATCTTCATCAGAGATGCCTTGAGAGACATCTTGTAGCAGAGTGAT